CGGGATTCATCTTGCGGCGGCTCGAACGCGAGCCGAAGGTCACTCTGGAGGGTATCCAGAGTGGGGAAGACGTTGGGATCGACAACCAACTTGCCGAGAGCCCATTCCTTGGCTTTCCCAGACAGCCGCGAGAGGAGGAAATGGACCTTCGCGGAAGGCGCCTCGATCAACCTCGAGGCGATGGCGATGTCGATCTCTCAAAACCAGCGATTCAGCGGAAGTCGATCTCCTCCGGCACCGGAGTAGGTGGACGTCTCTAGCTTCACGACGTCATTCGTGGAGATACGCGAGGGAGTTGACACTCGCCGATTCGCATCGGCGAGCTCGCGTTCCATGAATTCTTGTGCCGCAACGCGCTGCTCGTCGGGCGTCGCTGAGCGCAGCAGCGACGTGACGACGGCTTCTCCGGACACCGCCGCAAGGCGGTGGAGAGCTTCCCACTCGATCCGAGTGAGATGGAGAAAGGCAGCGTGGTCGAGGTCTTGGCTCATGTCGAACTTGGTCGTTGGAAGGACTACAAAGTGCTACCAGGTGTAACGGGCCAGGTATTTACTCCGTTACTTGCTTACACTATAGTGTTGAGGAAGCTCGCAATAGGACGACTGAGTCTTAGGTTTAAGTAAAAATCAACTCTGACTTTATTTTAGGACCAAGGTCACAGCCCTGGCCACTCAAATACACGTCATAGTCCAATTGGCTAATAATGGGTCTGGCTCCCCATATATCAGCCAATGGCATGACAGCATTTCAGCACACGCTAGTCGTGTGCTGATGCACCTACTTTTGTAAAGAAATCTACCTACTTATGTAATGGAGGGGCCCATTACAACTATGGTACCCACACAGGAAGCGCGTTCGACGCCTTCCTCTTCAGTTAAGGTCTGGGCGACCGTGAGTGGAACTCTGTTACCCGCTCTGAACACGCTGTTCGCAGTGTTCGTAACAGCTGCAGCTGTCTGCGGAACTAAGTTACCCGCCTGTGGACCTAAGTTACCCACTTGGCCAGCGCCTCCTCTGGGCGCTGCCACCATCAAAACATCCTCGGAGTCGTCATATACGTCGACGACTCCCAAGCATCTGTCGAATGCTTTGGTACCCTGGCAGCCCTTGCGGGCGCCCCGGGTCCTGACAGAGGTGTTAACATGACTCACCAATGCTCTGTCGGACTTCGCAGGGCGGCTGGCACCGATTGCCTTGCCTCGCCAGTCGATCCAGGGCTCGTGCCTCTCAAGCCAGGGCATGCCCAGGACCATATCATATGGATCCATATCGAGAACAGTGAGCTGTTCGAGGCTGTCAAAGTCTTCAAACTTGACGGCCAGATCCACTTGGACGTTGGGGACAGTGACGACCTTCCCGTCGGCCAGTCGCACTGACACCGTCCCGTTGTCCTTGCTTTCTCTCAAAGCATCGGACAACTTGTTGCTATTACGAGCAACTGTCTGGCGGCGTGCAAAATGCTTCGACGCCCCAGAATCGATCAAGATTCTAAAGGGATGATCGTATCCCCGTACACATTCGTGTACTACGAGCAGCCCGTCGCTGCTCTTCGCCGATTCGAGAGTACGAAGACTCTCAGGAGCTAAGTCCCATGTGGTACGCGCCACCTGCGCACCCTTCACGAAGACTTAGTTCTTCCCCAGTAGGGCGCCCCGCCTCTACTTATTTCCGGCGTTCCCCTGTCCCCGGGATCCTGGCTTCTGCCAGCGACCCTTGAGGACGGGTTTGGGGAAAGCCCGTCTGCGAAGTCTTTCCGCGGGACAGTCACGCGTGAAGCGGCGAAGTTTCTAGCAGCCGAAGCAGCGAATGCTGCGCTGATCGGCGGACACGAGTTCCATGGGAACTGGTCCGGTGGGGTTTTGCTAGACTGGGATTCGACACAGAATTCCCTGACCATGCTGAGGCCGGCGTGCGCCCCTGACAATGGCTGTATTCTTCCTGGTGAGCCACTTGAATCGCCTCTTCAAGAGTGCTCGGCTGCACCCGGAACAGCTGAGTGCGCGTGGGGCCCACTCGAAGGCCGTCCATGAACGCAGTCATCTTGATGTGCTCGCTGAGTGGGTTTCCCACGAGGGACGCCGTGAGCTCCCGTATCTCTTGGTCGTACTCATGCAGCTCACACCTCCCTTGTTAGCACGAGAGGAAGCGCGAGCCATGGCAGTACTCGTAGTTTGCCGGGAGGAACGCGGCTCGGAGCTGTTCACACAGCTGAGCCCAGGATGTGAAACATCCAGGGGATGTTGCCTCCCGTGTGTACACCCAACTCTTAGCACGGCCGCTAAGGTTGGAGAGTGCAAAAGCAACACGAAGTTGCTCGGTCGAGATCAGAGCCGCGTCCATCGCGAGCTCTACTTCTCGGACCCAGAAGTGAAGGTTCTCACCTTCCTTCCCTTCATACGGCTTAGCCTTCAGTCGTATTGGCTTCGGGTGTGGCGGATTTGCTTCCGCCGCCGGAGCCTGCAGGTTCTCCCGCACATGCTCGATGAGCCCCTGCTCGTACGCGTCAAACGCATTGACGCGCTCGAGCTGCTCGGCCGGTGTTGACACCACCAGGCTCTGCAGGGCCTCCATCCCGAAGATGCCTGCCATCTTCCGAACCGACTCGAACTGAGAGTCGTTCATTTGGGAGAAGTCGCTCCTATCCATGGCAACGAACTTCGGAGAGGTTCAGGTAGTCTACCCGCGGTGCCTTGGATTGACTACGAGTGCTACCAAGTGCGACGGGGTCACACAACACCTTGCGCTAGAGGAAGTTGGCTTCCGAAAGTGTACAAACACTCAGTGAACGGCAGTTCACAGGGCCCTTTTATCGAAAGGGAGCGAAGTGACCAATTTAAGGTAGAGTATAAACTGAGTATATTTATAGGTAGATAAAGCTTGAGTTAAATACAAACTATAAGTCACCTATAGAAAAGCAATGTCATCTGTGGCTTTGGACGACCTTCGTACCTTGTACCAAATATCCCGAAGTGTGACGTGTCACACTTCATGTAACGAGGGGTACACTTAGGGCTTCATACCCCGTTACACACACGAACTGGAATGCTGAACCAACATGGTGCAACACGAGGCAACTCATCTGAGGCGAGAGTTTTTTTAGGGCTAACCGTACTATTTTCGAGACAATGCTGGTATCGCTCTCACTATAGAAAAGAACAGGTTGCCCATTCACTCCCCCCCCCCTGCGCGAGACATTGGAATATCCTTAAACTGTATTAGCAAATCTGTTATTGACTTGCCTTGAAAGAGGATCCACTTAAGTACGAAATGTGACCACTTAAGTACGATCTGCGCTGCTTCCAAATAACAGTAAATTTGTAAGCGAGTTTCTCACTGAATAGAACCGAAAAGGCACATTTGGTCGGAATTCACAAAACTAGTGTTATTAATAAGTAAATGTACAAGGTCGGGTTTTCCGGGGTAGAGAGTGACGAAGTGATTAATTCAGCTGTCTTTCCATGCAGGACCCGGTAATGACAGGTACATGTAACAAGAACCGGTAATAATTTTTAGAAAGAGTAGAAACGAACAGGCGGGTTATGTAAAACAAGAAATACATGTATATCGATTGATTGATTCGGTAATCTAACATCTTTACCAATACATGTCCATCAACCGTTTCCAAACTCCGCCTTTGCCCTTCTTAAAGTCTAGTTGCTAGCTACAGGCCATGAAGATCACCACGCTTGAAAGCTGAGATGACTTCAAGAGTTTTGCGTACGAATTGGGTTGGATGCAGGAGGTGCGTCTAGGACTCATGCCCGATAAATTCGCATCCAAGATAAAATGATTTATTTTGATAAAGCCACAATTTGTGCGAAAACCGCCATATAGAAACAAATAAATAGTTAAGCTCGAAGCTTACCTATCCCAGACCCTGGTGGCGTTGCACTTCAAAATAATACCATATATGTCACGGTTTTCAAAGCACTTACAAAGTGTTATTAATACAAAGTAGGGGGGATAAGTGAAGCTGCAAAATACCATGGTATTTGTCAGGAGTTGTTATTTAATAGACCTCATGCCCACATGTGGCGTCGTGATCTGCACAGTTTCGAGTCGAAGCTTTCGACGGTTCGTTCCATGCGTGAATCATGCCATGATGCAGTTCTTGTCGCAAAACCAGGACTGCAACGACCGCCAAGCAGAGTACTGTATCAACATGTGATCAATCAGGGAGGATATTGGAGGCTGCAATTTGCAGCGCGTTGACGATTGGCAGGTTCAAGGCTAATGGCTCTATAGCCTCGAGCCTTTTACGACCGCTAACAGCTCATCAATTGTGTGAATAGTGTATCACACAGCGAGGAATCGCGACGCGAATGTGCGTCAAAGCTGATCTTCACTCGACTTGAGGAAAGGTGGAGCCGCAAATCCTCCAGGCGTTCCATAGAAACTTGGACATGTAACGCTCGAGACTTGAGTCAAGCTGCAAGCAGTGTCGTCCTGAGGACGATAATGGCTCCCACGAAGTAATCGCTAAGCATCATGCGAGTTCCTTTGCTTCCGTGTTGGTGAGGTGTGTCCCGGAGGCGAATGCATCCGTGCTGAATACTTGACCTTCAGCTAAGCATAGTGCTTGGAAACCCCTATCCGCGATGTACTGTTGCCTTGAGCTAGACCTCACTTTTTTCCCGTTTTGCCACCGTATTTCCTTCCACCTTCACGATAATGCTTCGCCATGCAACAGGTACAGTCGGTTGTTGATTCACCCTGCTCTGGTAGCCCCTACATCAGTTTTATTAGAGGGAAGATTGTGCTTTTGCGCAGGAGCGACACGTCTTGTTCGTGAAACGCTTGGAATTTGTATGAGGTTGCACTCAGGTGCAAACCTCTTACAAAATCCAAGATAAAGGGTGACGTGACAGACGCACGCGAGCTATACATGTACCTGCTGTGTGGGAGTCGCAGTGTCGCCATCAGAGAGGGGGCAGGCCGCTGTGGTTGGTGGGTTGCTCTGGCCCTCAGTTCGAGTCCAAGCGTAAGCAGAACAAGTCCAAGAGAGAAGCGATCAAATGGATCTCTCCATGATCCTGAGTCCTGCCCTCGAGGAGGAGCAGTCAGCGCCGCGCGCACCTCCCCTTCGCCAGGAGCCGGAGCCTAGTCGCAAGTGGAGCGCTGACGAGCTCCAGTGTGCCGTGGCGATCCTCCAGGACTTCCAGCAACCGTCGACTGATTCGCCTGTGGCTTCGCAGGTTGAGGTGCGCCACAGAGACGACATCAAACAGACGCCGTACTACAATCATCAGGAGCTAAAGTACAGTCAGGGCGAATACAAAGAGGAGGAACGAGAACCTCTAAATCCGATCTTCGCTCGGCCAGCCGACGATGGCGTCCCATCGGCTGCTGCCAGGAGCCGCCTGAGCGGAGAGGAAACCAAAAAGAGAACAACTCAGGTGCAAAATCTCTCTTCCGCTGCCTGGGAAGAAGACAACTTGTCCAAACTAGACCTGCTAGTCCAGGCTGATGCTGTCATCAAACGTCGCCCTCCCAAGACACCATCCTCGCCCTCATCAAACTATCTGCGCAGTGGGGTCTGGTCTCTTGCTGAAGAAGAGTACGCCGCAGCTCTCGTGTCATTCTTCCTTGAAGGACTGTTGGACTTGCCTGAGGGCTTGACGCTCCGCAAGTTCTTGGCCGAGAAGTTACGCTGCAACCGCCGTCGTGTCTCGATGAAACTTGGAACCGAGTCACTAGCTGGTCGGAAAATCCCAAGGAAGGTTGGAGCTTCGGTGTTTGTAGCTGCCAATCCTGCTCCAAGTGAGGAGGTACGACTGGAAGTGGAGTGCGAGTTAGCTGAGCTCCGAGAGGCCAACTTTACTTCCAGTCTAGTGAGCAGCCGTCGTTACTGCCGAGAAGAAGATGCCGTTTATTCGCGGCAGCGCAGGGTGTATAAGATGGGTGTATATGGAGACGACGACGACGTCGATGATCTCCGTCATTACCGGAAGGCACTTGACCATGGCTACAAGAGTAAAAGAGGACAAAATGACTTGAAGTCCAAGCGTGGCAAGCCTACTATCATCCGCACAGGTTTCGAGTCGCCCGAAGAAGAAGAGTTCGTCACCACGCTGTTCGAGTATTTTACTGCTGGATCGCTGGATCTGCCTGAAGGCACTAAGCTCGTGACCTACCTGTGCCAACAGCTAGACTGCACGCCGAAGCAATTGTCGATGAAGCTCGCTCCACAGCGCATGGGTGAATGCAAATTTCCGAATAACGTCGGCTCGATTACGTACGTGCGCAAGGTCACGGGAACATGCAATGCCTCGTTGGATAGCTCGGGCGACGATGACTTCTCGGAGGAACTGTTTGAAGTGGAAAGCCGCATCACAGAGCTACGTCTTGCTCACGAGGAAGCGCATAAGAAAGTCCCTCCTCCGGTGGCTATACCAGTAAAATGTGAGCGTAAGCTCAGCACTGCTAGTATATCTAGCGCGGGAACAGCCAGCATGGTCAGTTCGCCTAGTGTGAGTCCCGTACGTGTATTCCGACGCAGCGGTCCGTGGTCGCACGATGAAGAAGTTTACGCGGCTGCTCTTATCGATTCCTTTTTTAAGGGTGTGCTGGATGTTGCCGAAGGTACTACGCTCCGAGCGTTTCTGTCGTCGCGACTGTGCTGCAATCCCATGCGCATCTCGAAGAAGCTCGCCAGCGAATCCATCGCAGAGATCCCGATCCCAAAAAAACTGGGGAGCTCAACGTACGTGCGTAATGTTGAAGTGACCCCGGAGGAGCAGGCTGCGGCAGAAGATGTTCTGCGTAGTCTACAGCGTGTTTACATGCACTCGAGTCCGACCAAGAGGAGAGGCACCTTAGGCTCCAAACGCCAATATCAATCTCGTGGCCGGCGCGCCCGAGCACTGGTGAGCGCCCTAAATACGGACTCGGATGGCACGGAGTCAGACTCCGATGCGCGCAGTGTTGCATTTCCCGGAACGAGCCCCGGAAAGCTTCAAAAGACTGCAAAAACCCACTCTCCAGCCCAGGAAGCGCGACGGCAACGCTTCAATGCCGCTCCTGACCTAGTAGTGCCGGCGCCGCTGAAGGAGCAGCTGGCTTAGGCCCGGGGTATCGTGTGGGAGACCAAATTATAAGATTTATGCATGTAATTGCCTTCGCAATCTCGACCAGGATACTTTCAAAATATGAAAACGTGTTTTCGTTTGTACGTTGCGTCGCGAATCGCAACCAAGAGTCCACCAAGTAATCCATACAATGATAAGGCATCATCGATAGCAATACTGCGTGTACTGTACGTGCTGGTTGAGGATTATTTGGCAAATAATATTTGCACGTACTGTAGTACTGTACTACGTGCATGTAGTACCAGACGGTGAGGAATTCCACGCATCGAAGAGTGAATGTGTAGTGACTTGATCAAGTAATGTGTCAGTGGGTGTCCAAGCAAGCACGATGAATCCTAATATGTACTGAAATCATTCCAAGATACTACGTACTGAAAAAGTCTGTGTTGGTCTGCTAATGACAGGCCTTGGCAATCAATCGATTCGCTTTTTAAAACTTGGCCTACGTTCTGCATAGGCTTGCGTCTCCATCCGTTTTCTTACTGCTTCCCATCGTAGAACAGGAAGTACACGCTGAACAAGAACACACCAGCCATCATCGAAAAGGCCGAGGCGTAGTATGGGTAAGCAGCGGGGATGAAGCGCTCATACTCGTCATGCTTGAACGGGCGCAGAGAAACCTGTGTAGTCGTATAGATCGTAGACAGGCCCAGGCGGCGGTACATCACACGGAACAGGAAGATACCGTACACGTCAGGCGCTTGGAACGTCACTGAAAAGTGACCCTTATTGTCGTGGGCCAACGTCGTGCGCACGTGTGGGTCAAGCATAACAAACTCGAGTTGTACGTCATCCGCTTTATACGGCACCCACTTTCCGTCCTTGAGCTCATGTAGGTCCAGAGAGTACGTTAGGTTATCCTTCACACGGTACACAAGCGAATCACGAGCCACCTCGGCGTCGGGGTACAGTGTGATAGGCTGGTCGCCACGGTTTGCATCGCTCAGCATCTTAGCCGGCTGCGAGCCGTCCTTACGGTGGTGCTTCACGTTAGTCATGCGCAGAACACCGCTCTCCTGGAAGCCCCACTTGGTCACAGCATCGGCAAACTCGGCGTTCGCGAAGTCCTGGTTGTCGAGGTATTTGTCGCTGAAGAGGTCGAGCGAGCCAGCAAAGACAAGACGGGCATTGTTGCGGCCCTGAACGGCAGTCACGAGGCCTATCTGATTGCCAAATAGCAGATCGCTGGCCACCACCTTGTCTGTGATGGGCTTCACCGGGTTGGCCGAGTACGCGGTGGCAGGGGCCATTAGGGCGTGGAAAGCCAGGATATTGTTAGGCTCAAGCGACATGCCCACGCCGGAGAACGCGACGGTCTTCGGACTGGAAGCGAGCGAGCCTACAACGCGCTCCGAGGCTACAAAGTCCTTGGCGGCGACCACCGAGTTGTAGATGTCGTCGTCGTCCGCGATGGGATTAACATGATCCAGCACGACATTGCCCTTCTTCTCGAACTCGACGCCGCACTCGAGCGCAAACTCGCGCTGCACCTTGGTGAGTTTTTTGCTTGCTGACAGTAGCACGTTGCCACCCTCCTCCACAAATTGCAGTAAGTCCGACTTGCGCAAAGATCCTAGCGCCTTCTGGGGCGTAAACAGCACCAAATTCTCGTACGTGCGCTCTCCGAAGTGCTCCAGCTCCAATGGTTGCTCTTCCTCGCCAGCAAAGAAGCTTAGCTCATGGCCACGGGCTACATAATTGACACAGAGACATAGAGAAAAGAGAGGTCAGCAGATCGAACTCCGAGACTTGTATCCGCTACATCATCGCACCTTCAAGCAGCTTGAAGAACTTAGAATGCGTCTTCTGCAGCTCCGGAGATTCTAGCACCACAGCAGTGCGCGCAGCTTGTGCGGTGGTCAGCGCCAGCGCCAGGCACAGCGCAGAGAGACGAGAACGGAACGCCATTCGAAGCTTCAGGATTGATCCGGAATTGCGGACGCGTGGCGCAACGCAGCAGTCAATCCCCTTTGTAGTGATATGATCGTGATGGGATGTACCACAATTATGGATCATCCGTTTTTGTGAATCGATAAAACACATCGGATAAATGGAGAACCCTTTTCTTTTGTAAAAAAACGCAAGTGTCGGCATTTACAGCAGGTCAACACTAGTTACAAAATACAGTTTTTTTTTTAAGAAAAACGAATCAAAACGTGGTTGCCTTTGAATGGACCAGAAGAATCTGACGATTGGCAGACATCGTCGTCCTGCTCTGATAAAAACTATTTATCTCCGTCGCAGCCAGTCGCGGTGCCTCGCTCTCGTATTCCACTTCACCTCACCAATAAGTTCACGGTCTTAGTATTTCTTGAAGCACGTGCGGATGTATAGGTTCTGAGGCTGAAGTTTGTGTCTGAAGTGCTAAAGGTGTTTCAACGCACAAAATTTTTTTCCTCGCAAAATCCTTCCTTTTAGAAGGGTATGGTCAGACTTCTCTATTCTACAGTGTGACGGGGTCACACAACAGCTTCCGAGAGTATACAAACTCTCAGTGAACGGCACTTCACAGATCCCCTCTTTATTCAAAAGAGAGCGAAGTGACCTAATTAAGGTAACGTGCTTTAAATGTATAAGGTTTTGAATGTAAACTAAGTACATTTATAGGTAAATAAAGCTTGGGTTTAATGCAAACTATAAGTCACCCACAGAAATGCAATGTCGTCAACCAATGGTTGGCTTTGGACGACCTTGGTACCTTGTACCAAATATCCCGAAGTATGACGTGTCACACTTCATGTAACCAGGGTACACTTAGGGTTACGTGCCCCGTTACATCCTCCCCCACTTAGGTTCGGTTTACCGACCGATCAGAATGAAGGGGTGTTCGTCACAAACTTTCATTCTCAAAGTCGAAAACCATCGACTTGGCCGCGCGAGCGCGGCGGAGGCTCACTTCACAGTTAGAGCCTCGAGCAGCAGTCTGTGCGCTCTTCTTCTAGGTCGTCCACTTCGACCGTTAACCATGCCTCGGCACTGCTAAGAGCGGTGCGAAGACACACTCCAAGGCTGCTGCCGGAAAGGCGCAAGCCAAGAGCACTAAGCCTGGCGGCAAAGGCTCTGCACTTAAGGAGGCTACTCAGGTGACCTCCGAGGCGATCGATTCCTCGACGGCGCGGCTGCGGGCAAGCGCGCAGGCAAGCGCCGCAGCCCGTCACCCTCGGCCTCAGACAATTGTCCGAACCCTCGGTTCGTGGAACATGAGCTCGACTCTGGTAGTGAGGACGATGCCGAGTCCGAGAGCACGCACGATGCTCCTGTGGGCTCTGCGGAGGGGTACAGCCCAGTGCCCAGTGAGCACAAGTACGACAGCTTGCAGTCGCTCGCTAGTGACCAAGGTGATCACAGTCCCAGGACGTCTGTGCGCTCTGAGAGTCCGGCCGTCAAGGCTAAGGGCACTACCAAAGCTGGTGGCGATGAGGAAGAGAACCCTCGCAAGCGTCTCTCGCTTGCTCGAGGATCTTGCGCGTGCTAAAGCCTCTAAAGCCGAAGGCGCCAAGCCCGCTAAGAAGCGTACGGGCCTCTAAGTCTCCACTCCGCGAGAAGAGGAGACTCGGCACTCCTATCGGGGCCCTCGTCGACTCGGCGGAGAGTGACCTCGTACGAGTACAAATACTCAGGCGCGTCCGAACGCCACTCTCGTCCCGAGTGCTCCGGCTGCGGGTCCGACACGGGGCCCTGAGGCTGACCGCCTCCGTCAACGTGTCCTCGTGCTTTGAAATTGCACTTGGCCTTGGGACTGGCGGTGATGCTGCCGCCCAGGCCCGGGAATCAGGACGAGTTCGTTCGTCTTGCGGGGCTGCCTGGACCTTTTGGATCGAGAGGTCGCGAGCCTGCACCCGTGGGTGGATCGCCGGGCCTCTTCGTCCGATCTGTACGAGGCCTTTCGCATGATCCGACGGATCGAGGCTCTGTTGCCACGTCCGGAGCCGCCTGCGGCACACTCCTAGACGTACGCCAGGCGTACTCAGCGTACTCGGCGTATGGCTCCGGGGTCCGTTCGTACGGAGCCCCTCCGGCGTACGGTCTAGACCGCAGCTTTGCCGTCCAGACCGAGGCTTGGGCGCCTGCTCCGACGCCTTCGTTGACGTCTGTGACCCGCCCTCGTTTTGAGGAGCTGGGCCAAGGTGGGTCTGCGAGTCAGCAACCCCCTGCGGATCAAAGTACCGCTTAAGACGTTCAACATAGAACGTCGGGTGCGTCATCATGGACTTTGGCAGGTCGATGGTGTACGACGCACCATGTCTGGCCAGGACTGCAAATGGTCCGATGAAGCGGTGGTTCAGCTTGTTGCTGCCGACAGAGCTGACAGTGTCAAGAGGTAGGTTCCTCGTGTCTAGTAGCACTAAGTCCTCCACTTTAAATATACTTAAGTTTCCTCTTCCATGTTTGTCGAAGTACTTCTTTTGTTTATCTTGGGCCGCTGCCATGGCATCGCGGACCCTGCTGACAATGTTCAGCTTGGTATCCATAAAGGATTCCACCTGTTTCCGCAGCGAAACTAGCCTCACATCCGAGACCTGGGAGGAAAGGGCTTTCCGAGCCTCTCCCCCACTTAGAATAGAGGAGTCAGTGTCTCCTCGAAGAGTGAGAGGCACTCTGGGGTGGCGGAAGCCGTTCAAGTAGAACGGCGTGAACCCCGTGGACGCGTGCACCGCGTTGTTGATCGCAAACTCAACAACTGGAAGCTGCGACGACCACGTACGTGGCGCTGCCGCGCACACACTGCGCAGAGTGTCCTCGAGCACTCGATTGACGCGCTCTGTTTGGCCGTCTGTCTGTGGATGATCCGCAGTGGACATCTGCAGACGAGTTCCCAGTAAAGGGAACAGCGTTTTCCAAAACGCAGCAGTGAACCGCGGGTCTCGGTCCGAGACAATCGTCTCCGGGAGACCGTGATAGCGGAACACGCCATCGACGAGCAACCTTGCGGTTTGTTCGCCCGTTACAGTGACGGGAACTGGAGCAAGATGTACCATCTTGCTCAGCCGACACACGAACACCAAAATTCCGGTGTTGCCGTGTCCGTCGGCGGGAAGCCCAAAGATGAAGTCAAGACTCATCGACTTCCAACAATCAGCCGGTACGGGCAGGCTCTGTAGTGGAGCCGAAGAGTGCCCTGCGGGTTTGACCCGCTGACATGTTTCGCATGTCTTGACGTATCGGGCGACCCACTTGTACATGTGGGTCCACCAGAAGGACTGAGAGACCGACATAAAGGTCTTCTCGCGGCCCAAGTGGCCGCCGGAGGGCGCGTCATGCGCCTCCGCGAGGATGTCGAACTTCAGATCCTCGTCGTTGGGTACGACCACCCGTGGGGGATCAGTGGGCTCCACCCGATAATAGAGGAGGCCCTCCTTCAACTCATATCGGTGGAGCCGTGAGCGCTGTCGCGACGAGAGCCAGTCGGACTTCGCGCTCGTTCCGGCCTTAAGGAACTTGACGATAGGCGCGACAGCCTCATCGTCCCGATACGCCATGCGTATCCGATCATATAGATCCGTTGTCACCCGCGTGATGTGGGCCAACTCATAGTCGGGACACCGAGAGAGGGCGTCCGCAAGCACGTTGAGCTTGCCCGGCTTGTATTCGACGCGGAAGTTGTATTCCGCGAAGAAGGACAGCCACCTCGCCATCCTTTGGGAGAGGTGAGGCGAGTTAGTCGCCGTCCTCAAGGACGCGTGGTCTGTGTAGATCACAAAGGGCCTAGAGCCCAGAAGGTGAACACGGAACTTCACAAGGGCATATTTCATTGCCAGGAGCTCCTTGTCATGGACAGGGTAGTTCCGTTCGGCGGCTTTGAGCTGCCTGGACTGGAACGAGATGACTCGTTCCTGTCCAGCCGTGTCGGCCTGCAGCAATGCACACCCGATGGCGTAATCGGAGGCATCGCAGACGACGCTAAACGGCTTCGTCTCGTCCGGCAGAGCCAGGACAGGGGCCTCTTGGAGACTGGCCTTGATGCTGTCAAAAGCATCCTGGTGCTCTTGTTCCCAGCGCCAGTCGACGTCCTTCTGAAGGAGGCTCGACAAGGGCTTAGCGAAGCCCGCGTACCCAGCGCTGTACTTGTGAAGGTAGTTGGCCAAGCCCAACCACTTTCGAAGATCCTTCTGGGATCGGGGCGTCGGCCATGCTGCTATGGCCTTGACCTTGTCTGGGTCAGCCCGAACGCCCACGTTGCTGACGAAGCAACCGAGAACTTTAATCTCTGGTGACGCGAAAATGCACTTGTCGATGTTGGCGTAGAGCTTGTTCGCTCGCATCACGTCCAACACTCGACGGCGGTGTCCTAGATGCACCTCCATGGCCGTCTTGCCTCCCTCGGCACGGCTATGGTCGAAGTACGTCTGCACGAAGGTACGCAAAGGGCGGAACAATTGTGTCACCAGGCGATTGAACGTCGCCGGGGCGTTAGACAAGCCCTGCGGCATGACGAGCCACTCCCAAAGCATGCCGCTTGGAGTGCTTACCGCGGTGAGCGGGATGTCACTCTCTCGCATCAGGATTTGGTAGTATCTGTCTACCAAATCCAGCGCACTGTACAGTACGCTCCCGGCCATGTTGTTCAACAACACATCCTTTCGTGGGATCGGTGTTTGGGCCGGCACCGTTGCGTTGTTCAGCTTGTTATAAGCGTGAACCAGACGCCACTTTCCGTTCGGCTTCCGAACGCAGAAAGTCGGCGTCCAGTGCGGGGATTTCGATTCCCGCACCATGCCTGCCTTCGCTTTCGCGGCGAAGAAGGCATCAATGACCTCGCACTGTTCGCGCGAGAGAGGCCATTGCCTCGTGACACAATACTTTGTGCCGGCACGAGATCAATCTCGTGCCGTACGCTTCGATCCGGTGGGAGTTGGGTCGGTGGGTGTTTATTCACCACGTCCGCATACCCCGTCACCAAAGGATAC